TCCTTTGGGTTAGGGGGGGGGGGGGGGGGGGGGGGGGTTTCCACGTAGGAGACAGGTGGAATTCAAAGCACGATGTGTTTAGTGAGAGACCAAGTTATTGTGGATGAAACCTTCCTATTTGCTTCCCTTCAACCTGTTTGTTAGATTTATTTCAACTCAACCATTTATCCTTATGCAATCAGCATCTCTCTTCTAGACATCACTTCTGCATCTGGCCTACTGGGTAACGTTGAAAAAGCACCTTGAAATCTGACCTACAGGACAGACAGAGCCTGTGTCGTTTTTAATCTCATATATTAGAATTAAGCCCTGGACAATTTTCTGGATCTGAGCAGCAGAAAGTTTGGGCCAGTGAGGAGTCACATCTCAGCTTCGCAGTTGGATTGGTCTGAGCCACGAACCCCAAGGACTAAAACCCCTAACTGGGGATATTCACATCTGGATCCCAGTCTTGAGCCAGATCCAATCTGAGGACAAATCAATATGAAAGTACCGGCCAGACAGCTCCAAACTCAAGCAGGTTTCATTGCACAGGTGACAGAGAGAGAAGCAGAATGAAAAGAGGACTTTGACTCTTGTAACACTGAGCTTAGACCAGACAAAGCCATCTCATTGTGTTGGCACTTGGGGAATGGAGCTGGTATGGACAGGGCGCATGGTGCTCAAGTCCACAGAAAGATACAGGACTACCAGTGTCTGGCTTTACATATTATGAGACAAATCTATAATCATGTTTTAACTCCAGTGAAATCACACCTAGACTGAATCTGAGCAAGGAGGTCCATCTGAGCTGTCTCTGAGCAGCAGTAGTAGGCAAACGTTGATCCTTCTGGATCAGGTATATGCATGAGAGGTCACTAGGGTCACCATCACAGAGGACATTCCGGTTTTCTGCTACTCTGTCCTCTATTGATATATAACCCGATGCCTTTACGTCCTCTATTTTTCTCTTGAAGAAGAGAAAAGCAGAGGACATAAAGGCATCGGGTTCTGTATCAATAGAGGACAGAGGATAACTCGACTGTCCTCTCTGATGGCCACCCTAGAGGTCACCCAGACCTTTGACATGCATGCCCAGAGAGGCGGTTGTGAGGAGTAGAGGCTGCCCAGACTTTCCATCCCCCTTTAGGCCACCAAGACAGAGTCCAAAGGCCAGATTGAGTCCAGATGTGCGGTGCCTCGATGACTGTAGCTACGCACATGTCTGGGAAGCGAACTTGGGTTTCCCTCAGGGTAGACTAGGATCCTACCACTGACCCTCGACAGCAGGTGTGTTTGAGTAATGCAGGACTAAATAACACAGAAAAAAGTATAAGAGGAGATCAGAGAGCTAGAAATATCTTACCTTGTTTCACGATATGTTCTCTCGTCTCTGTGGTATGTTGCTTCTCAGCCCCAGAGACTGATTCCCACTTATATACAGATGAGCAAAGGAAATGAAATCTGGAATTCCCTTGGGCTTTCTATTTTCTCTATGCATTTCCTTGCTGAGCTTAAATGAAACAACTTAGAAAGTTCCACAGTGCTGATATCAGGGACAAGCACCTTGAGAAATGCCAGTTAAAACAGTTCCTGAGAGTGTCCAGATCAACATTTTATATGCCATCACATCCTTAACCTGTTGGAGAGTGAATGTTTTTCCTCCTTGTGCCTTTCAAAATAAGGAAAAAAAGCACATGGAGATAGAGTGATTATATGAATCAAGCAGCAGCAAGACAAAACTAAAAATTCCAGTAGATGTGTCATTCTTTTTTGATTTCCAGATTGCAATAGCAATGGACAAACCTGTATATACTCACATCCTTTATGATTGCTTTTGTGCTCGCTCGTACCCAGGACTCCGGTACCACAGGCAACCGGCACCAAGAGGCCATGGTCACAATTCCACCTTGTAGCTGAGATAATGGCAGAGGGGGGCTGCACGCGAACCTGCTACCTTTGCTCAAAGGTGGGACACCCTCTCAAGTGCTACCTGCTCCGAAACCCTGGCTTTAGGGGGCAGATTCTACTCCACTGATTAGGCACCTAAAGCTGTCTGACTGTGATCCTCTTCCACCCCGCTCAAGTCCCTAAAAAATAATTAACGTAGGAGGCAAGCAAATCCTCCTTCTCTTCACTGCTTTTTGTGACTTAGCCATAAGGCTAAAATGATAGTGTGTTACAAAGAGGGGTGCATTAAAGATTTTTCAGGCACTTGTGTGATACGGAATAAGGTTACGTATGGATCTAATAGGGGAGGGGAGGCTTTGGCTTGAAGGCTTTTTTCCTGTTGGAGCCAAACTCATTCATCTGTGTGCGTCTGTCACGGGCAGGTGTTTGTCAAACTTCAGTAACTAGCCATTTTAATCATTTTTGGCGCCATGTCCATCATCAGACCCAGTCTGAGAAAAGTCTATCCACTCTTTGCACCTGGGACGAGGAAGGACGAGTGAAATGTTGTTAGCTTTCTAACTGCCATCGCTGTTTTGGTAAAGGATTATGAGCTGCTTATCTGTCTGGACTGGGGACTAATCACGATACTTTTGCAAGCTGCACATTTAGCAGGTATGCATCCTCCAGGTGACAGCTGCACGTGAAGAAAATATTGATTGCACACATCACTGGGAGAGCCATTTTTGTGGGAGATGAGGGAATACTTCTCCATCAGCAGGACAAGAAGACGAGAGCCTCAGTAGGAGGACTCAGGTGTCTGTATACTAATGCCAGAAGCATGGAGAATAAGCAGGAGGAGCTAGCCCTCCTACTCTCCAGTGGACATTATGACCTAGTAGGGATTACAGAGACCTCATGGGACTCCTCACATGACTAGAGCGTAGCTATAGAGGGCTACAGCCTGCATAGAAGGGACAGGGTGGAGAAGAAAGGTGGAGGTGTTGCTCTCTATGTGAAAGCTCAGTATACCTCCTTAGAGGCTGACATTGGCTCCAAAAATGGACAGCTCGAAGCCCTCTGGGTCAAGTTGCGGGGGGCACTGTGTGTGAAGGGAGGGTGGCTGGACTGTGCTAGGGGGCGTGGGTGTTGGGGTCTGCATGTATAGCAGCATGAGGGGTGTGTGGGTGCACATGTATGGTGGGGTGGGAATCACCGTGCAAACTCTCCTCTCCCTCTCTCACTGCACAGACACACACACGCACACTCCCGGCCCCAGGGTACCCGCGCAGTCCCCATGTCCTTGCGGTCCAGCGATTCAGCTGGGGGCCAGGTGGTGCTAGAGCAGCCACGTGCAGGGGAGCAGTTAAAGCTGCAGCAGGCAGAGACTTCTGGGTGGGGGGGCAGGGTCTTGCTGGTGAGTCATACTGGCTTCCCCTGGGTCCCGTTGCCCCTGGCTCCTGTCATTTTTGATAGGCAGCCCGGAGCAGATAAATATTCATTTTCTCAATTTTTTAGGGGCCCCGCAGGCCCCACAGAATGGCCTGGCAGGCTGGATCCAACCAGCGGGCTGTATTTTGCCCACCCCTGGTATACACATACATCCTTACTAGATACATCTCTGTACAGTTTCAGTTGTTTCAAAGTAAGTACACAACGACGAACACCATCACTTCAACTCCCTGTTCTCAGTATTATACTATATTACACCAAAGATGCCAAATGCCCCCCTGAAATTGAATTGGTGTCGTGCAGTGCTTCCTCGGGTGAACAACAGGTTTTTCATTTCTTTTTCTATTTAAAAAAGGGAAATTTGTTGCTTTGCAAGGTGCTCTCTACAGACGTTTCAAGCAAACAGTCCTTTTTTGGGGGCCCATGTGCAGCCCCTTTGACCACCTCCCAGCATATACAGGAGACAGGGTGGCTACGCTGGCAGGAGGGGGAGAGAAAAGGGGCAGTGGGACAGAAACAGCTTCAAGCTGAGGGAAGTAGAGTGCAGGGTCAAGGAGGGCCTTTCCCCACCTCCTCACAACTCTCCAAAATGCAGCTGGGAAATACGGGTGCAGCCCCACTGGAGACTAGGGTGGGACAAGGGGTTTCATAGGAGGCCTTCAGGGGAAAGGAGAGTCAGAGGCTGATAGAGACAGGCCCTGTGGTGCTGGCTTCACAGGTGGGAGGAAGAGAGAAAGGGGTACTGGGACAGAAACAGCTTCAACACCAACCTCAGATGGTGGCCCCAACCAGGGGGTGTCCTGTGGGGGTCACAACAGTGATGTTCCCTGGTTGAGATAGCTTGCCACTAGGGGTGAACAGGGCACCTTCTGGGACCAGGACCAGCAGGGCCTTAGAGTGAGGTATGTTTGTCTGTGCTGCTAGCCCCAGGCAGGGTGAGGCCCTGGTGCAGGACAGGGTCAGGGTGCAAGGCAAGCTCCACAGCTATCCTAACACCCTGCATGGGCACTCATGCTCCAGGACAGCAACTGGCTGCTTTATCTTGAACTGGTCAAGTTCATTCCCATATGCCAGGGGCTGCTGGGTCTTGCAGGCCGTACAATGTCCTGTGAGAAGCAGGAAGAACTGTGGGTCGGGTGTCTGCTTGGAGGAAACCACATGACCTCCATGCGCATCTCCTTATCCAGATGTGGTGTCAGGGGAGCAGGGGGAGTCTCACAAACCAGCAGTGGGGCCGAGCCAAGATTTCCAGGGAGGGAAATAAATTACCCCATAAAAATCTCAGCTGCTTTCTGGAGACAGAGGTTGGAGAAAAGCATTTGCCTCATCACTCCAGTTAAACAGTATCACTTCATTATACGTCCTTTCTCCTTGACTAATAAGCTGAAGTTGGCAGAGTACCCAGAACGCACCTCCCCTTCTCCCACCCCTGCTCCCCATCCCCAATTAGTTCCTATCCCAGAGGGGCTACACTACTACAGCCATGGCAGGATAGAGGAGCTGGCTCAGAGCATCTCCAGGGCAGTCGGGTTTTCAAGGGTTAGTGGAAGGGGGCTCCAGGTCAGACACAGAACAGAGCTGGGGTCTAGATTCCTGCTTTCACTCCGTCTCCCATCCTGTGTGACCCCAGGCCCCCTACTCCCCCTTTCCTTGGTGAAGACACTGGGAGACTGCGGGGTGAAGAGCTCACGGTCCAAGTTCATGGATGACACCAAGCTATCGGGGAGCGTGGTCACACTGAAAGATAAGCTAGAGATACAGGCAGACCTAGACAGGCTGGCAAGTCAGGCAGTTTGGAATCTGATGAAGTTCAATGCTGAGAAATGTCAAGTGCTCCACCTCGGGGCAAGCAACCCCCAACACACCTACAGGCTTGGCAGCACCACAGATGAAAGGGACATGGGGGTAATAATAAACCACATGATGAATATAGCTGGCAGTGCGATGCTGTAGCCAGTAGGGCAAGTAATACCCTGGTATGCATCAATCGATGCTTCTCCAGCAAAACCGACGTGATGCTTCTGCTCTACTCAGTGCTGGTGAAACCGCAGCGTCCAGTTCTGGGCACCACACTTGAACATGGACGTGGACAAGCTTGGGAAAGTGCTAAGAAGAGCCACTTGTATGATCAGAGGCTTAAAAGGCAAGCCATATGAGGAAAGGCTGAGGGATCTGGGACTCTTCAGCCTGAGGAAAAGAAGGCTGAGAGGGGATCCGGTAGCAGTTTACTGCTACACTGGGGGAGTACATCAAGGACTTGGTGAGCAACTGTTCACCTGGGCACCCGGGGGAAAACCAGGAGTAATGGCCACAAACTCCTGGAAGATCAATTCAGGCTCAACATTAGCAAAGCTTCTTCACAGTCAGGGTGTCCCAACTGGAATAAACTCCCTTCAATCACCTACCCGGGAAATCTTCTAGAGGAGACTTGACAGTCACCTTGGTGGGGTCCCCTGACCCCCAGTTATCTTTCCTGCTTGGTGCAGGGGGCTGGACCCAGTGATCTTCTGAGGTCCCTTCCGGCCTTACAATCTCCGAACCATCTATCGCAGAGGACTAGCGCACAATCTGTGCACCACGCGAGTCCTGACTTGGGCACTTCAAAAAAGCAGCAGTGCTGTATGATCCCTCAGGTACCCTGTTATTCCCTCATCTATACTGTAAATTAGCCACCATAGGAATCATAGAAAACACGGGTAGGAAGGGACTTCAGGAAGCCACCTAGTCCAACCCCCTGCTCCAAGCAGGACCAGTCCCAACTCCATCATCCCAGCCAAGGCTTTGTCTTGCTGGGTCTTCACAACCTCCAAGGATGGCACTCCACCGCCTGTCTGGGGAGCCTGTCCCAGTGTTTTACTACCCTCCTAGTGAGAAGGTTTCTCCTAATATCCAACCTAAACTTCCCTTGCTGCAACTTGAGCCCATTGCTCCTTGTTCTGTCTTCTGCCACCACCGAGGACAGTCCAGCTCCATCCTCTTTGCAACAGCTCTGCAGGGAGCTGAAGGCTACAATTTAATCCCCCCTCAGTCTTCTCTTCTCCAGACTAAATAAGCCCAGTTCCCTCAGCCTCTCCTCACAAGTCATGTCCTCCAGCCCCTGCACCATTTTTATTGCCCTACCCTGGACTGTCTCCAATTTGTCCACACCGTTTCTGTAGTGGGGGGCCCAAAACTGAACACAGGACTGCACCAGTGCCACATAGAAGGGAAGAATCACTTCCCTCAATCTGCTGGCAGCACTCCTACCAACGCAGCCCAGGACATTAGCCTTCTTGGCAACAAGGGCACACTGCTGGCTCATATTCAGCTTATTGTCCACTGTCACCCCCAGGTCCTTTTCTGCAGAGCTGCTGCCCAGCCAGTCAGCCCCAGCCTGCACCGGTGCAGGGGATTGTTCCCTCCTAAGTGCAGGACTTTGCACTTGCCCTCGTTGAACTTCATGAGATTTCTTTTGGTCCAATCCTGCAATTTGCCTCCGTCTCTCTGAATCCTAACGTTCCCACATATCCACTACTCCCACAAGATTGGTGTCATCTGCAAACTTGCTGAGGGC